GATTAGTAAAAAGTGTATCTCTTTAGTGTTTTCAAATCATATATATATACACACACAGAGACACATGTATACATATATATACATGTGCATACATATCCATGTAAACTAAGGCAACACGGCAGAATAGAACGGAGCTTGACAAAAATAACTCAAGATTCAAATTTACTTAATAATATTTTTGTTTACAAATTTGACATACATTATGTGTAAAAAAAATGTGTGGTGAACCAAATCATTGTGAATTAATCCCCTGGTGGAAATATTTCAGAAAAGTAAAAAAGATTTTTTAAAATTATTTTTATTAACATATAATGTATTATGTGCCCCAGGGGTACAGGCTTACACACTTCACCGCACTCACCATAATCACATACCCTCCCCAATGTCCATAACCCAACCACCCTCTCCCTACCGCCCAACCTCCAGCAACCCTCAGTTTGTTTTGTGAGATTAAGAGTCTCTTATGGTTTGTCTCCCTCCTGATCCCATCTTGTTTTAGTAAAAAAGATTTTTTTAAGGGATATGGTTTATACTACTTACGGATATTGGGGAGGGTATGTGCTATGGTGAGTGCTGTGAAATGTGTAAGCCTGATGATTCACAGACCTGTACCCCTGGGGCAAATGATAATTACATGTTAATAAAAATTTTAAAAAGAGAATGTATACTTTCAACTTGACAAGATTAAAAAAATGAATTAAGGAATTACATTGGTTTAAATGGCGTTACCTCAAAAGTACCTTGAGCAAAAATTGATATTGGAGTAATCCTGATTAAAATATTTTTGTTAACATGCATGGAGTCAAAACGGGATTAAAAAAATGCCCTCTGTTACCATGAGCTTGCATTCTGCAAGAGGAACAGACATTAAATGAGCATCTGTGGAAATGGCCACATTGTTAATGATTAGGGTAAGTCTGGCATAATACTTCTATCACCCCATAGATAGTAAGTGGCATGTGCCTGTTCGCATGTGCACACACACATATGCTTTTCTGATCTTCGATAGCACCAATAGTCTGTCATTCATTTTGACATGTAAAGTACATTGCCTTGTGTTAAAGGACTTTTTCCAAGTATATCTAGTGTCTTCTGAAGGACAAACTATCCTACCTCTGTTTTACATGACCCCAAAGTTCCCATGTAGTATAATACTATACCACAATACTAAAATGTGCCCTTAATATTTTTTGAAAGGGTGAATTAATTAATGGCAGGTTTTAGTTAATATGTATAGCCTGGTATGCTCTGCTTTCAATATTTCACAACTTTCTCATAAACCGGCTGTTCTTTCTATCTTAGTTTTACATGAGCCAGAGCCAAGCCCTTAAGAAGCAAAATGGCAGAGAAGGGCGTGTAGGTGACGAGTACATTAACACCCTGACCAGAGCCCTCTTTCTTAGTTTTTCTCCATGGGGTTTTCCCCCAGTGTTTCTAGGCTCTTGGTTAATCTGAGACAGAAGTGATTTGGAAATAAGGGAGAGTAGGGGGAGGACAGACGATTTTACATGAAACTTCCCAGCTACTGGTGGAACAAGACCAGAACACTGCAAAACAGCACACCTACCCACTTGCTTGCCCTACTGAGTTGATCTTCCAAGGACTGTGGCCTCCAAGAGCATCAGGGGCAACTTGACCACAGTGATTAAAGGCGAGGTCTGGGAAAAAAGGCCCAGAGGGAAGAAAACCCCACATCTGGCTGGTAATCACTGTCCTGCAGCTGAAATACTCCAAAGCTGGGTGCTTAGGATAGACAAAGGCCTCATTTAATTAGGCCCTGAGAGGAAAAGGCACCTGGAGCCCCCATTCATTGCTCAATTAGTATCCCTCATCTTTCCTGATTCCTTTTCCTTGCCCTAACTCAGGCCAAGCTCCTCACCCACCCAAAAGAGCCCAGCATCCCCATGTCACTTAATTCCCCAGATCTCCCTTATTTCCAGGCTGCAGAGTCATCTTGTTGAAGTACATCACAAAAGAAGGCGTAACCCTCTCAAAGTGACTGCCCTACAACTCGAATCGATTTTGAATCCACGAATCCAAGTCACACACCTGGAAACCCAGCAGAACCTCCTGGTATGTCCCACGGCACTCTACGGGGACACATTGTGTCACCATTAAGTTCAAGAGGATTAAGGAGGCCTTCACTTTCATGGCTGGAAATTACTGAATTAATACCAGTTTAAAGAATATGTTCTGTCGCTGTTGGCAGGATGGCACATCCGAAGATAATTCAACGTGAATGCTGCTCACTGAGAAGCCAGGACAGATGAAGCAACTCCACATGAGGCTTTTGGGCCACAGGGTTTATCTCCCTGTGTTAAACTGTGGAGAGCAGAGGAAATGTCATCTCCAATTTAGATGAGCACAGTGTTTCTTTGACACACTGATGCTGAAGTAACAAGGAATTTAACAACAACAGGGCTCTGTATGGTAGGGTTTAAAAGATAAAGGCAAAAACCCTGCTAACACTTGATGAGACTTAACTATTGTCAGGCTCTATACAAAGCACTTTGTATACAGTATCTCATTTAAACCTCAGGAAAACCCCATTTCACAGATGAGGAAACAAACTCTGAGAGGTTAAGTTCTTGGCCATAGATGTAATAGCAGGGAGTGGGCACCCACAGATGGTCTGATGCCAAAGCTCACATTGTTAACTCTGTCTGTGTATTGTTGTGCCCAGATGGTGGCTCTGTGTGTGTGTGCGTGTGTGTGCATGTACATGCTCATAGGTGCACTTTTCAGGAAAGTTTGTGCTTTTGATTCAGCAGAACCTTGAAGGGGCCATGCAGTAAAAACAGTTAAGGTATATATGCATGCACACAGACATACATATGTTAAGCATGTACAAAGAAACACATATACACACTTAATGTTTGTGTATGGTGTATGTTTGGATTTTTTCAGTAATCCCCCCCACCCACCGCCTTCATGCCTTGCTCTTATCACTGGTATGCAGCTGAAGAACTTAAGTAGACAGCAGAGGGCGCCCAGAGTCACTATTTTTTAAAAAGTGTTAGTTTTTGAAAGCATCTTCCATTTCTGGAATTCAGAGAGAACAGAGGTCCACACACAGTGCAGTCGAGGTGGGAAAGGTAGATAGACTTCAGGGAAGATATAAAATGCTGCCTTCACTCAAATTGGAGAATTACCATGTTGAAAGGGTGTTTTTAGAAGAGAGAAAACAGGATGACCCTCTGTAGATAGCATTCTGATGCATGTGTGTGTGGGGGTGGGGAGCATATGCTAGATGTTTCATGGAAAAAATATCCTCAGCTCCTTATGAAAGAAAAAGAATGAGCCTTTGTCTTACCTGCGAAACTTTCCTCCTAAATTAAGAATAAAGAACCCAGAATGAATTGTTTGCTGTTAATTACTAAAATCATACTGATCTGTGAGAGAAGTGAAAAGGAATTAGGCTCTAAATTATTTAAATTATTTGTTCTGTCTTTCTACCCTACTCAAATCCATCAAATCACAGCAACCGATCTCCTCCAGCCATCATCATGGAGTTACTAAGTCTTGGAGCTTTCTCCAAGGGAGACTTCAGTATCCTGGTGTATTTATCACTGCCCATTTCTAGGAATAGGTCAAAGATCACCTTTTCATTATCACAAACCTTTAATATGCATTGGGAATTCACAGAATACTAATTATTATGGTGGGATAGGGAATTCTGGTGAAGGATGTCCCTGACAGACACCCAACCCTGGGAGGAGGGGAATGCAGATGATCTTGCTCAAGATGACTTGTTCATGAGTATACAATAGATAACTCTCAGGTTATCACCAAAAGTACCTAGAGGAGGGGCGCCTGGCTGGCTCAGTCCTTAAGCATCTGTCTTCAGCTCAGATCATGATCCCAGAGTCCTGGAATCAAGCCCCGTATCGGGCTCCCTGCTCCACAGGGAACCTGCTTCTCCCTCTCCTACTCCCTCTGCTGCGTTCCCTCTCTCGCTGTGTGTCTCTCTCTCTCTGTCAAATAAATAAGTAAAGTCTTTTTTTTAAAAGTATCTAGAGGAGCTTCTGTGCAACTGAACATCCTATAACAACTGATGGGGATAAAATAAAGTTTGAATGATTCTGAATGTGGCCCGTGGAGTTGGCATGGCTTGGGCACAACAGCTCAGGGACATAGGTACTGAAAAATAAAAGGCATGGGTAAGAATCCTATAGTCCGTGCTATCCCACACATACTCTCTTTGATTTTTCTCACTTATGAAATGAAACACTCCTGAAGCACCTGCTGGATGGGCATTTTGTCCTCTAGGAGTCTGGAGTGGACGTGACCAGGAATAAGTCTTTATTTACACTCTGTGTTAGCAGGCTTTGATCCCATCAGGTGTTGCAGGCAGAGGGAAGACCATATGAAGGTAGTGTCCCACTACATTGCCCAGGGTGGGGGTGATCTCACTGTAACATAAGGCCTGCACTGCTGATAAAGAATCGGTAGTATGGGGGCACCTGGGTGGCTCAGTGGGTTAAAGCCTCTGCTTTTGGCTCACATCATGGTCTCAGGGTCCTGGGATCGAGCCCGCATCGGGCTCTCTGCTCAGGGAGGATCCTGCTTCCTCCTCTCTCTCTGCCTGGCTCTCTGCCTACTTGTGATCTCTGTCTATCAAATAAATAAATAAATAAAATCTTTTTTAAAAAAAGAATCAGTAGTATGAAGCTCACTCAGGCAAGATCTGTTTTTGACAAGGTTGAGAGCTAAGCAGTTAATTAGTGAACCAACTGGTATGAGTGGCAGCTCTGGACTTCTATATCCCTGACCTTCCATACCTTTATTATCCCCTTTGAGTCAAAATCCTAACCTCAGTGGACCATGGATCTGGACCAAAAGTATAAATCTTTTATTCATGTGGATCATTTGGGTTTATTTTTAAAATCCTTTTTTCTCCTCCAAACCATCTCAGTTTTACATTTCACTTTCCATTTGTGGGCATGGCTTATAAGTTATTGATTATTTCATACTTTTAAGTTATTATTTCATACTTTCAGGTGTAAAACATCTGGAAAGATAGGAGGAAACAAAGATAACCAGCACACCATTGCTACTTTAACTAGCATATCTCCTGAATCCGTATTGAAGATTCTGAGATAAACAGGTAAGAGGAGTCCCCATGTCTCTGAGTTAAAGTTTTGATAGGTAAACCCAGCTAGAGCAGGTTGGGTGTGATTTTGCCTTTCTCACATTTCAATGGACTAATGCCTTATGATTTTTTTTTTTCCTCCTGAATTCTACTTCCTCTTTCTTCTTTCTCTGTTCTTCTATTTTGTGTCTTCCCCATCATTTTATTCATGCTTCTCCTTTGAAAAAAATATTTTAGATCCCTTTTTTTGGGCTCTTTGGTGACAGAGTCTAGCTTCCTGTGTCCTCACTCTTTCACTCACTGACTCAGAGTGGAGGCTGCTTTACTGGAACTTAGGAGAAACCTCAGGTTCATTTTCAGTCCTGCTTTCTCCCTAGCATAAAGTTCTAATTTCAAGGGAGAAGTTCTGAATGGGCCGTATTGAGAAAAGCAAGCAATAAGCCTAAAAACTCATGCTCTTCACCAACTCCTCCTGGGCTATATTCTGTAGAAAGGCAACAAAACCATCTGAAGCTGCCCATTTGCTCCCCAAATACAACTCCCATGCCCGGAGTCTTATGCAGCCTTCAACGTGAGTTAAGTCCCTCAAAGTAGGGCATCAGCAAGATTCACCAGCTAAAATTTTCTTTAACTGGAACCCAAGGTACATTACAATTTTCTCAGTTTGTTCAACAGAGAATATTTGGCAAGTGTCCGTTTTCCTGGAAAACAGGATGGATTAGAAGTAACACAATGTGTGTGCCAGTTCAACATTTCCAAACCTAATATTCATATACCTACTAACAACTCTGAAATTCAGATCCAAGTGTAAAGTCCAACTCTGGGACTACATCCTCCATCCTCTGTTACAGCTTGGAAGATGGTTATTAGCACAAAATTAATATTATTCCATCATTTTCATCTTTATTGTTTTAAGCTGAGGTACCCAAATTACATTCATCCATGGCAACTAGGAGTTGGTCTGATTTGCTCATTCTTAGAAAGTGATAAATGAATAGAAGATGCTCAATCAGACCAGTGGGTAGAAAGTCAGACTGTCTGTGCATGAGATTAGGGGAACTCGTACACCTAATGAAGACAACAATGGGAAAAGAATGAACCACGATGCTCATTATGACTCAGTTGACAACACTTTTAGGTAAAGTCCATACTGTTTGGAAAGCACATTTTCATCCCTGGTGTCAAAACCTCCAAAAGCACATAGAAAAGTAAAAAATGCTGGCCTATGATAAGTTTGTCGAGGGTTGTTTTGGAAAGCCCTGCAGTATTTAATGAAAATGAAAATGCATTTCATTTCTTCATCTTGTCTATCAGAATCCCTGTCCAAAACAATCAGTAAAAAGGAAGGAAGACCAGCTAACAAAGAGGGAGCCCATAGCTGGATTTGTTCCCATCAGATCCAAAAAAACCAACCACATCAAGTTGCTAAAGAGATTTACCCACTGACAATGACAATAGCACAGCAGCATTTGTATCATATTCCCCACAGTTACTAGGCTGTTGTGGCTCAGATTTTGAGAAATTTAACCTGCATGTAAATGTGTGACAGGGCTTTCCTGACAACCTGTAGTTCAACAAAGAACAGGAAGTGAAACTGTCATTATCACCACAAGGTTTCTTTTACACAAGTTTTCATAACTTAAGAGAGGCACCTTGCTGCTTACTCTCTGCCCTGTTTCCTTCATCTGTACTCCTCTGCCTTACCTCAACATGAAGAAAAGGAAGTGCTTGTTTGAGGGGTGAAAGGTCTTGGGAATTGACTGACCCCTGGGGAAAAGGAAGGGATACCCCTAAGATTCAGTGCCCTCACATTTGCCCCAAAACACTGAGCTGGAGCCCCAGAAACCATTGTCTTAATGACGATACTTTGTATACCAAAGATGTCAAAGTCCTAAAAGGGCTCAAGAATACCATTTGATAACATTTGGTTTGGAATTTCTTAGGTAACTTAAGCAGCACTCAAGACCATGGACCTTGAAGTCCAAACTTTATCCCAACCACAGATGCCTGACAGAGGGACTGACTAGAGACTAAAATCTAAGGCTGCTTCATCCTATAGGAAGCACCTTTTCCTAATTCACCCAAATCCACCATTGGACAAGTGAGGGGTGGATGTCAAGTCACCCTGACCCCTTCTTATTGGTTACCCCCTCTCTCAAAACCTCTACAAGCTTCTCATCACACAGAATCAACTCCAGGTCCACATGGTAATACAGTCTGGTCCCTTTTACCTCTGCAACCTCAGCTCTCTTACTTCCCTTGCTTGCCTCTTTCATGCCATACAGGCCTTCTTACTGGCCCAGGAGACCCCAGCACATTCGTACCTCAGAGCCTTTGCACTGGCTGGTCCTCTGCCTTGCTCCCTCACTTCATTCAGATGTCTGTCAAGTGTCATCTTCTCAGACAGGCCTTCCCTGACTAACTTTCCACCTTCTTTCCTCTCTATTCCTTTTCCTTCTTATTTTTTTTTAAGCACTTACTATTTGAATTATATATTTATTTGTTTATTATTTGACTTCTCTCCAAAACAGAGGTTGAAAAACTAGTCTGAGGGCCAAATCATACTTGCTACATATTTTTTTAAGTAAAGTTTTATTGGTATATAGCTACTCTCACTCATTTACATATTGTCTTTGACTATTTTCACACTACAGCTGTAGAGTTGCGTAGTTACAATGGAGACTGTATAGTCCACGAAGCCAAAAATATTTATTACCTTGCCAACCCTCACTCTAGAATGTAAACCCTCTGAGGACAGGGGATTGATGTCTTTTGTTCACTCCTGTCTCTCCAACATTCATATTGCTTGGCACTCAGTAGGTACCTGATAAATTTTATTAAATGATTGGGCATATGGATGAACGAGTATCCAAATATATCTGGAAAATGATGTTCTTAATTCAGCAATTACTGAGCACCAACTTGTGCCAGGAATTGGACTCCATGCAGAGGATACTAGATGAGAGACCAGTAAATTAAATGGTGCTAGGAGGAATGGCACATTCTTCACGACAGTTATTACAGGAGCCATAAAGAAAGATAACTGGCCAAGGCATCTAAAGACAGTGATCCCAAAAAATGAGTTCTCCAAGCTAAGAGAAGTGTGAAAGGCATTGCATACAAAGGGTAGAAATGTAATGGTCCAGCGACAGGCATTTAAATGATAGTAGTAGTAGTCTGAGGGATCAATAGTTTGTGGGGTATATGACAGTTGTTTGAAGGGGGTTTGAACAATTTCTTTATGGGTGTGAATAATCACTCTCTTCCTCTTCCTGACTCTTATTCCCTTGGTTGCCATTTAAAATTTGGGGGAACATAATGATTCTCTTCAAAAAGGCTACCATTTTCCTGCAGATGTTTTTGGCCCAACCCAAAACATGTAAAATGTGTTTTTTGAAGAGATGTCTCAGATACGTTATATCAAGATAGCTCACCTTGCCACTATTGACATTTGGACCAATAACTGTGTTGTTGTGGAGGTGTCCTGTGCATGTAGGACATTTCATGTCATCCCTGACCTCTACACACTAGATGTCAGTAGTACTCTCACAGTGTGATAATCAAAACTGTCCCCAGAGATCACTAAATGTCCCCTGAGGGGAGAGGGGGGCAATATCACCCTCCTGGTAACCACTGCATTAGATAGTGCCAGTCACACACACTGGACAACCTGAAGATAAAATGTGTTAATTTTTGTAAATTTGTGTAAATTACAAATACTGGATGCAGGGGGATTTTTAAAGCCCAAGGCACTTGAGCCTCTGGAATAAAAACTGCCTGTTCTTTTTTGTCTCCAGATGATCACCCAACATGGTCATGACAAGTAACTATAGAGTTAGAAAGATAAACATTAGCTACTTCTTCACTTGGTTACCCTCGTGCCATATTGTCTACGGAGTCGTGGGGTCTGGGCTATGCTGAAACAGGCCAAGTTAAATATGCAGTTGGACAATAGAGCCCACCTACGCCCATGCCACTCTGAACGCACCCGATTTGTCTGACCTCGGAAGCTGAGCAGGGTCAGGCCCAGTTAGTACTTGGGTGGGAGAACGATAGAGCCCCACTCAGCAGTAAAAAAGAATGAGCTTTGGTAGATGCAGCAACACGGATGAGCCTCAAAGGCCTGGCGCTGAGGGGAAGGAGACAGCCTCCAAAGCTTACGTACTTTCTGATTTCATAGATATGACCTTCTGGAAAAGGCAAAACTATCGGGAGCACAGATTAGTGGTTACCAGAGGTTGGGGTGGGGAGAGTGTGTGACCACAAAGGGACAACATGAGAGTTTTTTAGTGTATGTTAATGAAAAAAAATGAAAGAGTCGTGGCTGAAGAATGATGGGCTTTTAATACTTAATACATGTCTTCTTCTAACCACAATGAAGCCTTCAAAGCCATATTTTAAAGCCATAAACCATTTAAATACCGGGCAACACGGCCTTGACCACCAGAATGGGAGCGTTCCAGGGGAGAGGGGCAAGCAGATAATCTGGAACCAAACGATGAGCTTTAGCTTCCTTGCTTCAATTCCTCTTTCACTTTCCATAGAACAAGGTGATCTTCACTTCCCAATCCAGAGTTGCCAAATTTCACCCTAGAATTGCTTGAGCCTCCCTAGGCAGAAGAGAGAAAATACTTCAAAACGTGATGTATGTGAGAACAGGCTTACCAGCATCCCTTGAGGTGTAAAATATTGTAGCAACATGACAGTATCGTGTAGTGATAGAAGAGAGCCCAAGAGAGTATGGGGTTCGCTTTCCAAGGCCCCAGGTGAGAGAAGGACCAGAGAACATAATGAAATGAAAGTGACTTGATTCTCAAAGAGATCAATATCCTGTTTTATTATTCATATGAATAATGACACGAGACTCATGTGTACATGAAATAATCATCATTTCTGAAGAATTCTGTACTCACCTGAAATATGGAGTCTGTTCATCTATGATGATGGGGCCCAGGGTATATATGGGAAGATAGTAGTGACTCTAATCTAGAATCTGCCCCATGAGCATCCAGGTTGGGGTAAGGATATTCAGCATGCCTCTCTTTCAAGGGGACTGCAGGCTGTGGTTTACCTACATATGAAAGGACTGTTCACAAGAAAATGTTGCACATGTGCTTATGTAATCATAATAGTAGACCACAGGACTATCACACCAGAAATGAATGTGCTTGACTTCTCAGAGAATGAAATGCATGGCAACAGTGAGAATCGGAGAGGGTCATCCACCTGATATTCGTCCTGAAAGTGACACAAAGCACAGATGATGTCACAGTCACAAATATTATACTTCTTTCTCTTTGCCCATCATCATCCATTTGCAGCAACATGACTTCAGAGGGACAATTGCAGTGTCTCTAAATGGTTTCAGAGGTAGCCTTGTACACCAAACATCCTCAGGAGCTGTTGATTCTTTTTCCCCTTGGCTAAATATAACTGTGAAAATGAAGTAAAAAATGACAGCTGTTCTGTGTGTGTAGGGTGAGGATAGGACCGTGACACAGTTAAGAAATACATTGCAGAAGAACTGGCTCATGACTTCAGTCTTCTTAAAAGCAGAGCTTTGAACATTTTCATTTTATATCTTTTAACTTATTTGATCATCACCATTACTCTCCCTCCCTCATGATGTAAGGAAGTATTACTTTATGCCCATTTAACAGAAACTAGAACAAAGGCATATGTCCATTAAGAATTCCCCAGAGGGGGGCGCCTGGATAGCTCAGTTGTAAGGGCATCTGCCTTCGGCTCAGGTCATGATCCCTGGGTCCTGGGATGGAGCCCCACATCAGGCTCCCTGCTCAGCAGGAAGCCTGCTTCTCCCTCTCCCACTCCCCTGCCTGTGTTCCCTCTCTCACTGCGTCTCTCTCTGTCAAATAAATAAATAAAATTTTAAATTAAAAAAAAAAAAAAAGAATTTCCCCGGGGTTGCATAGGGGGATTAGTAGAAAAATAAGGTGTAAAACTTGTCTCCTGATTCTGGACCCCAGGGCTCCATTTGGTAGACCATATTGTAAAATGTCATCCAGCTTTACCAAACATAGACCAAAAGCAGGAGTTAAAGATGGTTACCCTCTGTAGGAATCAGTGGAAGTCCTCACCCCCATCCTCCCCCCGACCTGAAGGTAGTAATGCGTCCACAGTTGAGAAAGTGCCTGATTCCTTTCAAAATGCATCTCAAGCATCAAGCCTACAAGAAGGGCATTCCTACCCACAGTAGGGTATTCCCACCCTACCTATTCCTTCCTTAGTTGAGTCCTGCCATACCTTAAATACAGTGCTATCTTTGTGCATGTAACTTTCATGTGCCTTGGGGCATGGTCTTGCTGTTCTTGGATTCCTAGAGCCTACTACAGGGCCTGTTTCATAGGAGGCACGCAATGCTTATATGCTAAAAGAAAGGCATGGCATGGACTTTCTTCTTTAGAAGTGCAAGTAAAGGGCAAGCTGCGCCCGAAAAAAACCTTGCAAAAGTCATTTACCCTCTCAAAGCCTCAGTTTCTTCATCTGTAAAATGAGGATAATAAGAAAACAATAACCCTCAAGAATTGTTGTTTATAAAACGCTTGGCAGGGAGCCTGTTTCACAGCAAGCTCTCGGTACATGGTAGCTCTTTGTGGTAGCCAGCCTCCAAGATGGCCCCCAGTGACTTTCACCTCCTAGTATCCTAGTGTCCTAATTCCTTCTCACAGTGAATAGGGCTGACTATGCAACCAGTAGGACATCGGAGGATTGACAGGGTGGCTTATGAGTCTGGGTCAC